CCTTCCCCCGCCCCCGCCTGCTGCCCTCCCCTGGGCAGGGGGCTGCTCCACCCGAGGGGCCCTGTGCTTGCCCAGGTAAGGGGCTCTGGGGACAGCGTGAGGGCAGCCGGCTCGTGAGTGCTGCCGTGCCTGTCAGCACGAGCGTGTGTGTCAGCGAGTGTGTGTCAGTGCGCCTGGGGTCGGTGCGGGGCTGGGGCTGGGCCCACGCGTGGCTGGGGGTGCCGGCCAGCTTGCGTTTGTCCACGAGTCTGGCATTGTGTCCAGGCGCTGTGTGGCTTTCCCTCTGTGTTTGTGTCTTTTGTGTGTCTCCTCAGCTCCGCTCCGTCCTCAGGCACAGAACAGTCAGATACAAGGACTCTGGGCCTGTGGCATGGGCTTCCAAGCAAGATGGGGGGCAGGCTGAGGCTGGGAAGGGGTCCTTCCCCCACCCAGCCCCCACGAGCTCCAGGCATTCCAGGAGCCTGTCCTGAGAGCCCTACTCTGGGCAGGCACTGGGGCCTGACAGCAGACCTGGCAGCTGCGGGTGGGGGAGAAGGTATCTGTCCCACTCCCCTGGGACAGTCCCCATCCTTTCTGGGGATGACAGCGACAGGCCCTCAGGGCCCTGGCCGGCCCAGGCTCTCACCCTGGCCTCTTCCAAGCCCCAAGCCGCAGGACTCTCCCCCGGACGCTCCCATAAGCTTCGGCTGCTGAGGAGGGAGGCCAGAGGACACAGATGGGGGACCACAGGCACACCCCAGACCTTCATCTTTGCCCCTGGAGCCAGTCCCAGAGCGGGAGGCCAGGCCTCGAGGCCTTGGGATTCCACTCCATGTTAGCTCCTCCACAAGCATCTCCCCTAGCACACTGGGTCCGGCCACCCGCGAGGGAGCTGGGGGAGGAAGGGAGTGTTACTAACTCAGTCATGTAAACAACCCTTACCAGCCTGCCCTGCCCCACAACTGGCCTCTGGGGGGAGGCAAGGGGCTGGGTGGGTCAGTGCCAACATGGCCCAAGTCCTGCCCGGTGCCAGCCCCTTCAGATCCCCTCTCCCCAGGACCCCTCCTCTTCTCTTCCACTGGAGGAAGTGCCCCCGCCTTGCTCCAGCCTCTTGGGAGGCGAGCTCCGGGCTCTTCAGGGCTGCCCTCACCAGGGATGGCGGTGTGACTCGGGACCAGGCTGGAGGCCTCCCACGCGCATCCCCTCCCTGGGATGGGGGAGGGGGGTGCCGGTCTGTCCCAGACAGGCCTGTCTTCCGCAGGGAGGCAGGGGAGTCGAGGGTGGGAAGCGGGCGCCTGAGGGGAAGGGAAGCGCCCGTTGGGCGTGTGGGTTTCTGTGTGAGCCTGAATCTGTCTGTGTGTGTTTGAATCTGTCTGTTTGTGTCTGCGCTGGAACCACCCCCGCAGAGGAGCCGGGATGCTTCCTCGGGTGGAGGGTGCCCTGCTTTCCCATTTCCTCTCCTACTCTCTGCTCGCTCCCAGGAGCCACTCCCATGGGCTCTTCTCCAGCGCCGGTCTGGAAGCACTCGGCACCCTGGGGATGGGGCAGACCCTCCAACCCGGGGCTGGAGCAGGTGCTGGACCTCGTCTGGGCCACCACCTCTCTGGATACTTGGTGAAACCAAGGCCCTCAGACCAGAAACGGGCGAGGGCCCAGGCCCTCCCAGAACTCCCAAGCCACAGCCCCTTGTGGCCTTGGGTCCTGGGAGGGAGTTTGGGAAGGGGTTGGGGTGGGGGGCGGTGGAGAGCCATTTGGTCAGGTTCGGATGAGGGGGGCAGACGCGGCCAGCCAGTGTGCCCATGTGCCCAGCTGCAGAGGACCAGGAGCAAGTGGTCCAGCAGGCTCGGCCGGCGCGGGTCAGAGTGCCCATCACTGACCCGTGAGAACCCGACTGCCCCTGCCAGCTCTGGCACTGCCCCTTCCCAACCGCCCCGCCTTAGCACCCCGGGGGGCACCCCGCCCCACCGTGGCCCGGTCCGGCCCCTCCCGCCCTTTGCTCCAGTTCCCGGGCTTGGCACCCAGAGTGGGGGTGCTGCCCGCCTGCCAGGCTCCGGGCCGGGCCCACGGGAGGGTGGGGCGCTGGGAAGCTGGCACGCTGCCCCGGGGGAGCCTCTCTCGGCAGGCGCCCGGGTGCCGCGGGGGGGAGGGGGAACAAAGGGCTCATTCTCCCCGTGCGCAGCCGGTGGCATCGCCGGGGCGTTGGCGGA